TTCGGCGCCACTGCACGCCAGGAGAGTATCCCAGTCAATCTCCACCGGCCTTCTGATAGAGAAGGAGTGGGAACACACTTCTTGTTTACTTAACTGTCGTGTGGTCCGCACCCAACAATAGGGCTTTACTATTAACCACAAGGTCGCCAACTGGTGTTTTCGGTGTCCAGTAACACCTCAGTGGACTGGTGGAATTAGTGGTAGCCTTGGCAAGGTCACACTCAAAAGATCAGGAATCAGGCAGGTTCTTACTCTTATCACTCTTTGCTTTCCAGTATAATATAGCCACAAGATCAATGGAGGGGATGATATAAACACAGAAGTAATTTAGTATTTTACTTAAAATGCATGAAAAATGTCACGAGGTCAATCAATAAATAAATCAGCTGATCCTGGCTGTGGCCGGTAGTTCCCACGAATATTATGCACTCACTAAGTGGCAACACCTCCCCTCCTCGTCAATGTCAAGAACAGCTGATTGCCTGGCCCCTCGCGAAAGTTTATTGCTTGTTTTCTAGATTCACACGCGCTGTTTCTTTAAGTTCTCCAATATTGCTAGAAACTCGCACACTCGATATTGGCTACAATAGCACGTATTACTTAGTTACACTATGCTCGGGCTCAAACAGTCGTTTCTACAATCAATGCGACAATGACTCACTGTAATGGTTTTACCTGCCCTTCATTCAATGATATATTATGAAGTATTTAACACTGGAGTTTTCAGTACTTTCTCTCGTGGGCGATAACACAATAATTCACTGTACTCACAAATGATTAATCACTGCATGAACATAGACATATATAGTGTATGTAAATCAGACATCGATAAATGGTGAATAAATAGTTTCTGGGCACATAGCCTAACTTCCAAATACTGGCATAATATTATATATAATTTATCACTATATGTTCTCATCAAAGTCTCTAGAAAGATATACAAAACACAGTAAATTTATCACTTGTTCCGGGTGCCTGTACACACCAATAATAAACATGAAAATTACAAGTACTCTTGATAGTACTATCCTGCACACTGGTGCTTTATTGTGACATGGGTGAGACTTGCTCACAACATATAAAATCCTCAGGCTAGATAATATAGCCGAATAATATAGCTAACTAAAGGGGAATGGGGAGGGAAACTAGAAACACCTACTTCAACCTATCCTCCGATGAGAGTTGAGTTGTAGCTCCTGGTCCTCGTGTCGGGAACGCCCCTACACACACGTTGTCGTGTCCTACCGGAACCACTCGTCGTCCCACCGTTTAGCGCGTCGTCTCCGTGCCCTCTTCCCTGCAGGTCCGTACTCTTCCTCGACTTCTGGTAGGGTTGGAGTCGGTCTCCTGGCCGTCGTCTTCTCCCAGCAACGGCTGCCGCCTACGTCTCAGCTGCAGTCGTCCGGATTCCCCAATTAGTCCTCTTCTCCCTCTGCTACCCAGTGGCTCTGTCAGCCACTACGCCGTCACGACTGGGTGAACTGCTTCAGACGTCGCCTACGTCACTGCACAGACTTCACTTCTTCTTGCACAGTACCTGACTGGAGCACTTGTTGCTCAATAACCGTCGATTCCCTCTCTGGTTCAACACATGAACTAGGGAAGACCTCACAGAGTACTGGCAGACTTCAGGTGACGCGTAAATCCACGGGAGCGGGAAACAACTGTCAAACTGACAGGACCAATCGTCGCACGTCCAACCTCCTTGACGTGTCGTGTCTGACTGCTGGCGCCAGCACGGCGCGCTGCCAGGACCCCCTTCCTTTCGAGACGTCACTTTCGCCACGGGAAGTTTTCATTGGCTCTCGGTGCCACATTGCTGTCGGTGACCAATCCGGTGCCACTGACGTCACACAGTTTTGGCGGGGAATCAGGAGAGCCAGCGCCATCTTGGCTTCCTAAAGGGCCTAAACCACAGGCCAAAATATTATTGTTTCACAAATTTCTCGGCTCTCCGAGAACACTCCACTCGCTCCCATATATCAAATTGATGCCTGCAACGTAGAGAACGCTTGGGAAAGGTAGACATGACTCTTACTGCAAGCGTTGGAGAAATATAAGGGGGGGGGAACACCGTCACAATATATATATATATATATATAACCCCAACTCCTTCAAAAAGCTAGCAGCACTTTTACCCCAGGCACCAAGTGTCTCTGAGGCAATGGGGACAAAATTGTAGTGGTGCTCAAGGTCTCTGTATATACGTGACTTGGCTGCTTCCCGGTGTTTGGCAGCTCCTCCTGCTTGTGTAGCACTGAAGTCAACATAGGTATTGGCTAAAGTTGAAACGCAAGTGTAGTTCCACACCAACTGTCTACCCTTCTTCCACTCCCATACTCCCAGTTGCGTTGCTCCTGGGAGTATGGGTTCGAGTCACTTCTGGGGTGTGAGTTTTCAGTCGCATATAGTCCTGGGGACCATTCAGGCTTGTTCGCATTTGTGTTTCTCACGTGTGCCCCAAAGAATGAGGTGATTTGATTAAATGCTATGCCCAAGATTACCATCCGAGTGCCGGCGGGGAAGTGGTTCAAATAGCTTCGGCTATCACTTCCTTATGTCCGGTCGTGATGGTCAAGCGGATTAAGGCATCCTGTAGTTACCAGTTGCGTAGCTCCTGGGAGTATGGGTTCGAGTCACTTCTGGGGTGTGAGTTTTCAGTCGCATATAGTCCTGGGGACCATTCAGGCTTGTTCGCATTTGTGTTCCTCACATGTGCCCCAAAGAATGAGGTGATTTGATAAAATGCTATGCCCAAGATTACCATCCAAGTGCCGGCGGGAAAGTGGTTCAAATAGCTTCGGCTATCACTTCCGGTCGTGATGGTCAAGCGGATTAAGGCGTCCTGTAGTTACCAGTTGCAATGCTTCTGGGAGTATGGGTTCGAGTCACTTCTGGGGTGTGAGTTTTCATATATATTATATATATATATATATATATATATATATATATATATATATATATATATATATATATATATATATATATATATATATATATATATATATATATATATATGTGACTTCTTGACTTCTTGATGTGTACACATCAAGAAGTCAACACCAGCAATCAACAGCCAATTAATGCACAACTATATTCTACCCACCTCAAGACTCCGCTCCAATATAGAAGCATCAAGAAATATGGACCAATAGGCTTTCTACAAACACTTCTATTCAATACCCATTGTTTCGTGTTCTGTCTTGCGTTGATGAAATTAATACCCTATTAATGCCACCTCTTGTTCTGTCTTGTGTTGATGAAATTAATACCCTATTAATGCCACCTCACCCCATCCACCTCACTCAAATGTAGATATAAAATCGGAGATGCGTAAGTTCTATTCAGTTGTGTATTTGTAAACTAAAGTCTTTGAAAATGTAATAAGTTTTACGAAACGCGCTCGTGTCGCGTCAGACTAGAAATAAAAATGAATTTTGGAGAATTGATTTTTGATTTACCTCCAACAGTGAAAAGAAATGTACGAAAGATTGAGAAAATTCGTGTTAGAATTATTAATCTTACTTTTTCGGTCATATTTAATAATATATGTCTACAGGAAAGACTGCTACCAAAATATACTAATAAATATATACATATATATATATATATATATATATATATATATATATATATATATATATATATATATATATATATATGTCGTACCTAGTAGCCAGAACGCACTTCTCAGCTTACTATGCAAGGCCCGATTTGCCTAATAAGCCAAGCTTTATATTAATGCTTTTTCGACTACCTAACCTACCTAACCTAACCTAACCTAACTTCTTCGGATACCTAACCTAACCTAACCTATAGAGATAGGTTAGGTTATAGGTATAGGTTCGGTCATATATCTACGTTAATTTTAACTCCAATAAAAAAAAATAACCTCATACATAATGAAATGGGTAGCTTTATCATTTCATAAGAAAAAAATTAGAGAAAATATAATAATTCAGGAAAACTTGGCTTATTAGGCAAATCAGGCCTTGCATAGTAGGCTGAGAAGTGCGTTCTGGCTATATATATATATATATATATATATATATATATATATATATATATATATATATATATATATATATATCGTACCTAGTAGCCAGAACGCACTTTTTGGCCTACTATGCAAGGCCCGATTTGCCTAATTAGCCAAGTTTTCCTGAAATAATATATTTTCTCTAATTTTTTTCTTATGAAATGTTAAAGCTACCCATTTCATTATGTATGAGGTCAATTTTTTTATTGGCGTTAAAATTAACGTAGATATATGACCGAACCTAACCAACCCTACCTAACCTAACCTAACCTATCTTTATAGGTTAGGTTAGGTTAGGTAGCAGAAAAAGTTAGGTTAGGTTAGGTAGGTTAGGTAGTCGAAAAAACATTAATTCATGAAAACTTGGCTTATTAGGCAAATTGGGCCTTGCATAGTAGGCTGAGAAGTGCGTTCTGGCTACTAGGTATATATATATATATATATATATATATATATGTATATATATGCAAGGCCCGATTTGCCTAATAAGCCAAGTTTTCATGAATTAATTGTTTTTCGACTACCTAACCTACCTAACCTAACCTAACCTAACTTTTTCGGCTACCTAACCAAACCTAACCTATAAAGATATATAGGTTATAGGTATATATATCTATATTTTAACTATATGACCTCATATAATATATATCATTTATATTTATATATAATTATGGCTTATTAGGCAAATCGGGCCTTGAATGGTAGGCCAAATAGTAGTATGGCTATATATATATATATATATATATATATATATATATATATATATATATATATATATATATATATATATATATATATATATATATATATATATAAAACGATGAACTGTAATGCCAATCCTGACCTTAAAAGCTTCATTGAAGGTTGTAACAGAGCCCATGAGCACCACACAAGAAACAAATACCTTTTTGATATTCTAAGAGTACGACTTAATCAAACTAGAAATGCTCTACATATCAAGGGACCCAGAATGTGGAATGACCTTCCCAGTCATGTTAAAGACTGTACCTCTCTCAACCAGTTTAAGATACAAACTAAGCACTACCTAACTAACTCCCTGTAACCTACCTTACCCCTATAATGTCATCATATGTTTGTTATTTTAAACAATTCTGTTTGTCGACCAAATTGTATTTTTGCTGTTTTTCTGCCATGACCCCCCCTTTTTTATTTTTATATTTTCTCAACACATTTTATAATTTATTCTCAATGAGTAATAAATTTTAGTATTTAGTGTTTTTCCTGCCCGAAACGCTTTGCGTAATAGTGGCTTTAGGCATTGTATGTACTAGCTCTATCTATAAATTCATCAATATTTGTATCACCCCTTGTATGTATGTACTTTACCTGAATAAACATCTGAATTTGAATTTGAATATGTAAATTTCACTCTCATAAATCATACTTGACAAACTTTGATGGGATGAATATATTCTACCTTCACTATCTGTGAGAACCAAGTAATTACTAGGTTCGTACCATAGCACAACACCACAGCTGTGATGGTGATGACAGTGGTACAGTGAACTAGAGTGGAAGCACAACACCACAGTCCACCACAGTCACCTCCGTGATGTCACTGTGGTTGACTGCTGCCCTCACCACACCTAGACCACTCTCCACCTCACCGAAGACATGTGACCACTGGCGACCACCCCGACGGTCCCTGGTGGTGATGGCGAACTGGGCACTCCAGACACTACCTAGCCACCTGCACCACACAGCTCCTGCCCGGCCTGACGCTGGGTACCGCCCTTCTAGGTTAGGCAGCAACGGGGCTCCTCCCTCACCATCATTACTCTCGTAGTCACCACCATCCACACACTCTCCCGAGCGACCCTTGGCCCTCACCCACAACAGTTTAGTGTTGAGGTAGCTGGGGCCCCGCTGGCCCGTACACAACAACACAAACTGTCTGGCCAGCGGAGTGTCAGGGGTCAGCCGGATGGTGACCCGCCCTCTTGTTGACCCCGCCCACCCGAGGTCAAGGAACGCCAGGGTGCAGGAGGGGTCCAGCACGGCCACAACCTCACTCTCCTGCAGGAAATATAATAAATCACGCGGGAACCTGTATAGTAAATGTTATATATTAGTTATCACAACTCAGTGTCAGTAATGTCAGCACGACTAGTGTGAGTAATAAAGTAACCTGGAGGGTGTGGGCGTGGGCGGGCGTGGGCTGACGCAGGAGTGGGTGGAGGTACAGCTGTCCGTTTTGTAGAGTTATCCTGGCGGAGCGTCGGCCATCTTGGTCTTCCTGGACGGCCAACACCCGGCCAGCCTCCACCAGCCTCTTGACGGGCTCCCTCATCCTGCGGAGGTCCTCAACCTGTGGACAGGGTCAGCCCCATTATCACCTGTGGTCAGTGTCAGCCCCATTATCACCTGTGGTCAGTGTCAGCCCCATTATCACCTGTGGACAGTGTCAGCCCCATTATAACCTGTGGTCAGTGTCAGCCCCATTATCATCTGTGGACAGTGTCAGCCCTATTATCACCTGTGGACAGTATTAGCCCCATTATCACCTGTGGTCAGTGTCAGCCCCATTATCACCTGTGGACAGTGTCAGCCCCCTTATCTCCTGTGGTCAGTGTCAGCCCCATTATCACCTGGGGTCAGTGTCAGCCCCATTATCACCTGGGGTCAGTCTCAGCCCCATTATCACCTGTTGTCAGTGTCAGCCCCATTATCACCTATGGTCAGTGTCAGCCCCATTATCACCTATGGTCAGTGTCAGCCCCATTATCACCTGTGGTCAGTGTCAGCCCCATTATCACCTATGGTCAGTGTCAGCCCCATTATCACCTGTGGCCAGTGTCAGCCCCATTATCAAATGTGGTCAGTGTCAGCACCGTTATCACCTGTGGCCAGTGTCAGCCCCATTATCACCTGTGGTCAGTGTCAGCACTTCTATCACCTGTGGTCAGTGTCAGAACCATTATCACCTGTGGTCAGTGTAATCACCATTATCACCTGTGATCAGTGTCAATCAGCACCATTATCACCTGTGGTCAGTGTCAGCACTTCTATCACCTGTGGTCAGTGTAATCACCATTATCACCTGTGATCAGTGTCAGTCAGCACCATTATCGCCTGTGGACAGTGTCAGCCCCATTATCACCTGTGATCAGTGTCAGCAGTCAGTGTCAGCACCATTATCACCTGTGGTCAGTGTCAGCACTATTATCACCTGTGGTCAGTGTCAGCACCATTATCACCTGTGGTCAGTGTCAGCCCCATTATCACCTGTGGTCAGTGTCAGCCCCATTATCACCTGTGGTCAGTGTCAGCCCCATTATCACCTGTGGTCAGTGTCAGCCCCATTATCACCTGTGGTCAGTGTTAGCACCGTTATCACCTGTGGTCAGTGACAGCACTTCTATCACCTGTGGTCAGTGTAATCACCATTATCACCTGTGGTCAGTGTCAGCACCATTATCACCTGTGGTCAGTGTCAGCCCCATTATCACCTGTGGTCAGTGTCAGCCCCATTATCACCTGTGGTCAGTGTCAGCCCCATTATCACCTGTGGTCAGTGTTAGCACCGTTATCACCTGTGGCCAGTGACAGCACTTCTATCACCTGTGGTCAGTGTAATCACCATTATCACCTGTGGTCAGTGTCAGCACCATTATCACCTGTGGTCAGTGTCAGCCCCATTATAACCTGTGGCCAGTGTCATCTGTGGACAGTGTCAGCCCCATTATCACCTGTGGTCAGTGTCAGCCCCATTATAACCTGTGGCCAGTGTCAGCCCCATTATCACCTGTGGTCAGTGTCAGCCCCATTATAACCTGTGGCCAGTGTCAGCCCCATTATCACCTGTGGTCAGTGTCAGCCCTATTATCACCTGTGAACAGTATCAGCACCATTATCACCTGTGGACAGTGTCAGCCCCAATTTCACCTGTGGTCAGTGTCACCACCATTATCACCTGTGGACAGTGTCAGTCCCATTCTCATCTGTGTACAGCGTCAGCACCAGTATCATCTGTGTACAGTGTCAACACCAATTTCACCTGTATACAGTGTCAGCACCAATATCATCTGTGGACAGTGTCAGCACCAGTATCATATATGGTGTTATGAACGCCAGGTAGCCTAGTAAAGCGAGTCAACTTGGTGAGAGTTATTCTGCCCACCTGAGCAGAGATTATGGAGTCAGGGGAAGAAAGTTAATTGAGTAATCTTCAGTGAATTATGACTGAGAAAAATGCAAGCAGAGGACAAGCATCTTATAGAAGATAGTCGAAATGAGAAGTTGACATTTTATGACGTGATGTGAAACAGACGGAGGTCTGACGTGTCACTTGAGTTGCTACAGTCGTCAAGAATGAATGTACGTCGTTGACCTCCTGGGAAGAGAAAAGAATATAGTTCCCTGTTTAGTGGTTGAGTGAAGGTTACTTGCTATCAGGTGTGAGGAAGCTGCAGGGACGTCGTACTTCATTTCTCAGTGATATTGAAGATATTAGAAGCGACCTGAAGCCTAGTGTGTGTAGACTCTAATGTGTCTTATGTGGACTCAAATGTGAGATACTCCTTCGAGTGGAGGCAAGTAAGCAGGTGTTTCTGTGTGAAGCCTGTCAGGCGACTTTGTGGGTTCAAGTCAGGACTGAAAGAAGCTTTGAGAGACAATCCTAAAGGATTTTGTTGGACGACCAAGAGTAGCGTCATGTTGGAGTGTCAGAGGGCCAGTGTCGTCATGTCCTAAAAATCTGCAGTAAACTCACTTAATTAGTTGATAGATAAAGTACTTTACCGTAATATTATGTATATATTTCTATTTATGTGTTTTCTTGTAATAAATATTTTTCTGTTGACAACTGATTTTTGCTCTTGTCCTGGGTGAGGTTTCAGAGAGAGAGAGAGAGAGAGAGAGAGAGAGAGAGAGAGAGAGAGAGAGAGAGAGAGAGAGAGAGAGAGAGAGAGAGAGAGAGAGAGAGAGAGAGAGAGAGAGAGAGAGAGAGAGAGAGAGAGAGAGAGAGAGAGAGAGAGAGAGAGAGAGAGAGAAACAGTTGCATATTGGTTGACAGAGATCAGTAATAACCCCAAATAAAGGTGACATTTAACCCCTCTCCAAGTATACAGTGATTGCAAGGTGATCTCCCAACTTATTATATGCACTCCAGTGTCCATAGCTGATTGATTGACAACAGTAGCAGTACGGCTGCCGTGGTCGGTCTTATTTTATCCCATAGTAGTTAGGGTCTCTGTTTGTCAGTAAGTAAAGTATCAGTTAAGTTCGGTATCCTGTTTATAAAACCCCCAACCCCTGATAATGGACAGCGTCAGCAACAGCGTCAGCACCATTACCAACGGGCAGGGTCAGCATCACTACCAGTGAACAGCATCGGCATTATTACCAGTGGACAGTGTCATTCCTCATTATCATCTGTGGACAGTGTCAGCACCATTATCACATGTGGACAGTGTCAGTCCCTTTAACACCTGTTGACAGAGTTAGCCCCATTATCGCACGTGGACATGTTTGCCCTTAAATTGTAAGGCAGTTGGTGTATAGCCAATCCAGGACCTGTAGGCCTCTGACGTCATTCCCATAGAGCGGAAGTGACCGTTATCAAGTAAGCAGTACGTTTCTCACAGACCTATAGCTAGGTGGGACCCCAGGACCTCGGTGCTCTACATCTATCTTAAGTACCTTACTCAATAAACTACTTGAAGTGAACCAGTGTGTATCTCTTCTCAACCAGACAAGCACGGACAACACGGTAACCAATACTGGTAGCAGCAGTGGGTTTGATTTTTTTTTCTCAGCCCCAAAATCAAGTAACCTCCCCACGCCATCCACAGCTGTTGGTCGGTTTCGGCTGTTGGTCCGAAAACCATAACAAATGCAGTGTTCCCACAGGACTATTATGTTATGAGGAAAGAGAGAGAGAGAAGGAAGAGGTGGTGGTGGTGTAGCCACGCTGGTAAGAAAAGGCTGGGATTTTGAGGAGATGGTTGTTCAGGGATGTGAAGGTTTCAGTGACTACATAACAGGTACAATAACAACTGGAGGGTAAAACATTATAGTCGTAGTCATATATAATCCACCACCAAATGACAGAAGACCCAGACAGGAATATGATAGAAACAACATGGCCACCATTAACATAATAGAGAGAGCAGCTTCTGTTGCTAGCAGGAATGGATCTGGACTACTAATCAAGGGAGAGTTCAACCATGGGAAGATAGATTGGGAGAACAGAGACCCGCATGGAGAACCAGAAACATGGAGAGCTAAGCTGCTAGACGTGGCAACAAGAAACTTTCTAAGCCAGCACATCAAAGAACCAACAAGAATGAAAGGAGAAGATGAACCAGCAATGCTTGATTTGATATTTACCCTAAATAAGTGGGACATAAGGGAAGTCAAGATGGAAGCACCCTTGGGAATGAGTGATCACAGTGTATTGAACTTTGAGTACCTGGTAGAGCCAGGAATTATCTCCCCCAAAAATGAACTAGGAAACAAAAGGCTGGCATACCGAAAGGGAAATTATGAGGAGATGAGAAACTTCCTAAGGGAAATACCTTGGGACACAGACCTCAGAGCTAAGTCCGTACAAGATATGATGGACTATGTAACCAAAAAGTGTTAGGAGGCAGTAAGCAGATACACCCTGGCCCTAAAGGAAAAATCCGAGAAGCAACAGAAGAATCCATGGTATAATAGGGCATGTATGGAAGTGACGAAACTGAACAAAAGCGCGTGGAGGAACTTCCGAAATAACAGAACACCAGAATTCAGAGAGAGATACCAGAGAACCAGGAGTGAGTATGTCAGGGTGAGAAGAGAAACAGAAAAGTTATGAAAATGATATAGCAAACAAAGCCAAGACCGAACCAAAGCTACTCCACAGTCACATCAGAAGGAAAACAATAGTGAAAGAACAGGTAGTGAAACTTAGAACAGGCGAGGACAGGTATACAGAGAATGACAAAGAGGTGTGAAAGAACTCAACAAGAGGTTCCAGGAGGTCTTCACAACAGAACAAGGTGAGGTCACTGTGCTAGGAGAAAGGGAAGTAAATCAGGCGGCCTTGGAAGGGTTCGAAATTACGAGAGAGGAGGTCAAGAGACACCTGCAGGATCTGGATGATAGAAAGGCTGTTGGTCCAGACGGGATCTCGCCATGGGTACTGAAAGAGTGTGCAGAGGCACTTTGCTTGCCACTCTCCATAGTGTATAGTAGGTCACTGGAGATGGGAGACCTACCAGAAATATGACAGACGGCGAATGTGGTCCCAATATACAAAAAGGGCGACAGGCAAGAGGCACTGCACTACAGGCCAGTGTCCTTGACTTGTATACCATGCAAGGT